GCAAGAGAGAAAAATGGAGCTCTGTTGAGGTACAAAAAGGAGGTCAGTGTGGCTGTAACGTGGAGAGGTAGGCAGGGCCCAGACCCCAGGCCCAGCAAGGAAGTCTTGTGTGGAGGGCAGTGGGAAGCCAGGGAAGAAGGCTTTCACAGACTTGTAGACATTGAGAAGAAAAATAATTAACCTTTGGACTGCACTCCCAAATTTACCCTACCTTATCTTCCTTAGCACGCAAGCTAGGCAGAGATTGTTATGTGTTTATTTGCAGATGAAGAAACACACCCCAGAGATCAAGACTCAGCCCAGGTCTTATTAAAGCTGACTTGTAAGTAGCAGAGACAAGATTGGAACCCAAGTGAATCTCATTCCAGAGCCCCTAAGGGTAGAGCGGTACATAGATTCACTGACTCATTCACTCAACCGCTCATTCATTTATGCAATACACTGAGTCCTACTATTTGCGAGGAATCCCTGGGTGGCGCAAATGCTTAAGCACTTGACTACTATCTGGAAGGCTGGTGCTCAAACCCATCCAGAGGCACCTGGCCTGGCAATCTGCATCTGAAAGGTCACAGCCTTGGAAACCCTATGGGGCAGTTCCACTTTGTATACATGTGGTAATTATGAGTCAGAATAGATCCAACAGCAACTAATAACAACTATTTGGCAGGCATTGTTGTTAGAACAAAGTATCTTGGTGGTGGTGGTTGTTGTTGTTGTTTGCCATCCAGTCGGTTGGTAGTACAAGTGGTAAATACACTTGGCTGCCTACTGAAAGGTTGGAGGTTCGAAAGTACCCAGAGACACCTTGGAAGAAAGGCTTGGCGATCTACTGGCAATTTACTTCTGAAAAAACAGCCATTGAAACGCCTATGAAGCACAGTTCTACTCTGACGCAACTCAACAGCAACTGACTTGGTTCTTTAAACAAGAATTCAGCAATAAACTAGACCAATAAACCAGATGAGACTAAAGTGTTTGGACTATATTCTGCCACCAACTGTGAGGACAGTTTGTTTCTGGGAAGGCCTATGACTGCACGCCACTTGTCCTCCTCCACCCCCTGGACAGGGAGAGCCATTGTTCTCCTTCTAGGAAGCATCCTGTCATGGCAGCAGTTCTGGGAAGGAAATTAGTATTGAGCAAACCTCCACTTTTGCCATCATCTGTTCTCTCTGACGCACAGCATCAGGAACGTTCAGGGAACGGGGAAGCAAATTTCCCAGTGGCATAAAGAACAGTGCATTCCACTCATTACGGCTGAAATCCCCCTACATTGTGAGCTAACGAGGGCAGGGCTTTGGCTCCTTTTTTACCCCCATTGTGATCCGCACTGAGCCCAGCACAGTGACTAGGCATAGGAAGTGCTCAATTGAGATTGGTGAGGTGGCCAAATTGTTTACAGAGAGAGAAAAGGGCCAGATGAAGAAACTTACCTGCAATATCTGAAGGACACTAGATTAGTCAGTGAGGAGGAGCTAATGATATAATTGGGTCCTTTTCTACTGATTCAGTTTCTCAAAGGGCGCTGATGCATTCTTCTGCACGTCTGGGACAACTGACTTAGGGTGGAGGCACGGGAGTGGGGAGAAGGGGGAGAGATAGCATTCATTGAGTACCAGGATGTGTTAGGCATTCCATATGTTATCTTTCAATCCTAAGAACAATCCTGAAAAGTAAATGGTCTTCCTCTTTCAGGGAGAAAAAGAGAGTTGGAAGAGAGAAGGAGCTTGCTCCAGGTCTCCCACTAGGAAGTGGCCTGGGTCTAAACCCCAGGTCTCTTTCCAAAGATATAGCTTCCAAATACCGCAGGCACCAAGGGTCGGGGTATGGAGGGTGTGGAGAGAAGGGATGCCTAAAACTTGATGGGTCTACAGCAGGCACAGAAAGAGAGAACCCCACCACCACTGCCAGTAAAAGAGTAAAATTCCCAGTTGCAAATACTGGGGGTAAGGGAGGGGTGAACATCCACAGACTTAGGCCCTAAAGGGGCAAAAGGAGAGAGGCTCCATATCCCCGGATCAGTGATGCCTCCAGCCCAGCTTCTTTGGCCTCCACCTCTCAGACCCTCCAGTGCCAGTAACACGTTTCCTAGCCCAGGCATCCAGATGGCAGGGAGGGCCCAGGGAGGAGCCGGAGATGCTGAGCGGCTCTTCCCCTCCTTTTCCCCCTCCCATTATGGCCCCACGAATCACCCGGTGTTGCCGGCCCATCTCATTGGCTCTCCCCTAGTTACTCATCTCTCCTCTTCTCCATCTTCCCAGCCTGTGGTTGCTGTGGAAACACAGAGCAGTGACATCAGCATAGGGCAAGGGCTGAGGAGATGCTGTGCTCTTGGCAGGGACTGGTCCTGCTGCCTGCCAGATGGTATATCCACATCTGGATCTGCCCAGGGCAAGAAAGGGAAGCAGGAATGGGGACAGGGCTCACATTCCCTCCACCTTGTTCCTCTTCCCCTTCCCCCAGATGTAGGGCAAGGAGGATGCAGATACTAGGAGGGATGAAGAGGTGAGGGCTGAGGAGCCAATCTTGATGACAGAGTCTAAGCATGTTGAGGAAGTGGGGGTAGAGCAGGGAAGGCAGTGGTCTGGAGTTCTCAAAGCACCATACAGTTCAATGGAAGGGTAGAGCCTAAGAGAGGGAGCGACAGGACTGAAGACTTCTTCACAACTGCAGCAATTTCTAATCCTGTCTTAGGAACCTGTAAATTGAGGATTACAGAAGCAAAGCAGTTTGCCTTGGGTGAGGAGCAGAGCTGAGACTTAGGGCCCTCCACTATCCAGGGGGATAATAACAGCAGTCACAGCAGTAGCTAGCATTTACTAAGTCTACCATGCTTTATCTCATTTGATCCCTCAAATACCTTTATGATGTAAATGCTGTTAATATCTCCACTTTGAGGAAAAAGACAGAGATTCAGTGTGCTGTAAGTGAACTGCCAGAGACCACACAGTTTACATAGTGGAATCAGGATTGGAAAGCTGATTTTCCAGTCAGCACCTCTGCCTGGCCCAAGCTCTCCACCACTGTATTACAAGAACCATGGAAGGAGACAGTTCAGGTTCCTGGGACTTTGGCTACTCTATATTTGAGAGTTGGTTTTGAGAAAGGAGGCCCTGTGCCTAAAAGTGGTGTGCCCTTGAGTCAGAACCCACCCACCCCCACCCTCATCCCCATACCCCACACCTGCTTTAGCAGTGAGGTCACCAGGGCTCCATGCCCAGCCCTGAGGCCTGTCCTTGTAGCTTTGGCAGAAAATGGCTTCTGTCTTTGGCAACTGGACTTGTCCAAAGAAACCAAGGCCTTGAGGGAGGGAGGGCTCTTCCTCTCTGGCCTCCTTCCGAGGACAGTTAGGGGAAGAAAGGAAGGGGTAGACTTTCTCTACTTCCATATGGAGCAGAGGCTCAGGAAAAAGGATCTGTCACACACACGTGTATGGCACATGTTCACCCTGGACAGGCTTCTGCTCAGCCGAAGATCAGTGCTGCATTACTCCCTCTTTCTCTCCTTCAGGAATTCACTTGCACCTTATTTCCTCTGAGAAGCCTTCCCTGAACCCTGTATCAGGACAGGTCTCCCATGAAGTCACCACACTAGTTTTGGGTCTGCCTCCCTCAGAATCTGTGAGCTACTTGAATGCATGTCTTATTCAGGATTGTCTCTCCAGGGCCTCAACTAGGGCCTGGTACAAAGTGGGTGCTTAATACCTGCTGAATTAATCCATGAATGCACTCCCTACACTTCAGTTTCCTCACCTGAAAGGAGCCATGGTGGTACAATGGTTAAGCACCTGAAAGGTTGATGGTTGAACCCACCAGGCGCTTCATGGTAGAAAAGAGGTGGCAGTCTGCTTCCATAAAGATTACAACCTTGGAAACCCTATGAGGCAGTTCCATTCTGTCTTACAGGGTCACAAAGAGTCAGAATCAATTCAAGGGCAATGGATTTTCCTCATTTGAAGACAACTAGTTCATGGACTTTAACAGTTGGAGACAACGTACTTAAAACCTCCATTATGCAATAAGCTCTCAGCACGAGGTGGGTCTTATTAAAAGTGCATGACAAACTGTGAAGTGTGAAACAACTCTAAAGTTCTAGGACAGTGCAGGCTCACTTGTGAGCAGTTGAGAGGAGAGAGTTGGCTGAGCGGCCAGAATTTCTGAGGAGAGTTGGGGAGAGGCAACAACCTGAGCAAAAGCTCTGTGCTGTGCTTGAAGGTCAGAAGTCTGGGACACTTGGCGGGGCAGGTGGGGTGCTGGACTGCGCTGCGGAAAGGCGCCTGCAGGAGACATTCCTCAGGGAGGGGCGAGCACGAGTGGGGTGGGGAGGAGGACGAGAGTCACGCTTTGGCCCAGAGGAGATGGAGGGCACAGGCGCAGCTCAGGCAAACTCTCTGTCCCTGGTAACTAACTCTCCACCACCAGGCTGTGGCAGACGAGCGCGGGCTCTGGAGCCAGCTAGACGTAGCTTGGAATCGTCAATTCACTTCCTCCTCCTTACTGTTTGTGGCCCTGTCTATTTCCCTCCGTGCCTCGGGCTCCTCGCCAGTTAAAGACTGACAGTGCTGCCTGACTGCGCTGCAGAAGTCCGCTAGAGCCTTCGCCGGCGGAGGCACCAACCCAAAGCCATTTCCTTTCTCTTACAGCTTCTCATCTCTGCTCAGACCTCAAACCCGGGGAAGGACTGGGAGACAGAAGACGTCCTTGGGATGTGCCCCACCTGCCGGGCACAGTGCCTTCAGCCGCTTCCTTCTCAGATTCAGATTAGTGCCTGGAGGCTAGGGAAGGGAGCCGCAGGTCGAGCCAGGCGCTGACTCAGGCGAGAGGGGCACCGCGGGTCTGGCCCCCCCCCCCCCCCCCGTCAGGCTGGAAGCTGGGCGGTCAGCCTCTGCGGGCGCGCGCCTGCTTCGGGCTGCCTATTTCGGGAGCCTGGAGCTTGGGTCACGTCTCATCACGTGATGCAAAGGCTATTTAAAGCGACACCTCGAGCGAGAAGCCGCGGTCTCAGAGTCTTCGCGCGCCTTCTCTCGTTGCTTCTCTCACAGCCTAACCCAGACTCATCATGGTGGACGCTTTTGCAGGCACTTGGAAGCTAGTGGACAGCAAGAATTTCGATGACTATATGAAGTCGATCGGTGAGCGGGGTTTGGGATGCTGAGCTGGGGATTGGCTGGCGGCGTTCCTAGCGCAGCACTCGGGCCTTAGGTGCGGTCTTGTGCGCCGGCTGCATCCCTCCTAGTAAAGGCTGGGGAGTGGAGAGGACGCGGAGGTGGCAGCCTGGGCTGGGGCATGCGGGGACCTTTTGGAAGACCTTCTGTGGTCTGAACCAGCGAGAGGGACACTCAGCAAAGGAGGTGCAGGAAGAAGGCAGAAGTGCCTGTCACTATGGAGGCAGGGAGGCACTTTCCAGGAGGAGGAGACCGTGCTCTGAAGGTAGGATGGGCGTTTGGATAAAAAGACCGCATTGATGGCAGAAAAGAGCTTTGGTAGCGCAGTGCCTAAGGCACTTGACTGCTAACCAGAAGGCTGGCTGTTCAAACCCACCAACCACTCCTCGGAAGGAAGACTGGGCAATCTACTTCCATAGATATACCGCCTTGGAAACCCAAGGAGGGGGTCGCTATGAGTCGATGGGGGGGTGGGTTGGACCACCAGTTATTTAGGAATTGGAAGATACTGTGAGCACCAGAAACCAGAAGGGGGATGGGGTGGATAGGGAGTATACTACAGCCTAAAGAAGTAGGAGATGCCTAGGAAGGAAAACAGTTGGGAACGCGAATCAGATATGTATGGGAAGAGGTGAAGACAGGGACTGCCCAGATTAGCAGCAATCCCTACCCCTCCATGTTGGGTTAGGGGAAGGATGACAGAAGATGCCCTCTTTCCCACCAGTCCCTGACCTTGTTCTGCAGTGGTGTGCAACCACCCCGGCATTAATCACTCCAAGTGAGTCTAGTGCTAGGGTAGAGCAAGAGGCCTGCTCACCAGCTGGGCATATACCTACATCCCAAGGCTCAGCCACCCCTTAAAAAAAAATTGTCTTTGAGTCAATTCCAACTCATGGGGACTCCATGGGTGTCAGGGTAGACTGTGCTCCACAAGGTTTCCAATGGCTTTTTTTAAGTAGATTGCCAGGCCTTTATTCCAAGGTGCCCCTGGATAGAGTTGAACTTCTAACCTTTCAATTAGCAGCAAAGTGCATTAACCATTTGCACTACCCAGGGACTCCAGCCACCCCTTGTGGACAAGTAAAGTGGAAAAACCCATCAGACTTCTGGGTAGTAGAGGGTTCCAGAGATAGGTCGTCATGCTGTGTTAAAGGCAGGGAGGGTGTAGGACGGTGGGGATAGCTGTGTGGTATTAGGGATGGGTAAGAATAAAGATTCAAAGACTCTTAAAAAAGTGAGACCCTTGGAGATCCCGTGAGACCCTTGGAGATCCCTTTGTCTGGTTCAACAGATGGGGAAAGTGGGGTCACGAGAGCAAAAACTCACAGCAATTCCACAGCAGAGCTGACAGGAAAACCTAGGTTCTTAGATGTATAATTCAGAGCTCTTCCCACTATTCCACAGGCCTTGGAAGTGGGAGATTTGCTTAGCTCTTTGAGCTCAGCTTGTCCTTCCTGATTTGGGCTAAGATGGAGAGGGTGATATTCTTTCCCTGAAGTTCCAGCTATGATGTTAATCTACACCCTCAGGCTAGGAAAGGGAAAGCAGAAGACTACACACTGTCAAGAGCTAGGCTCCATGCCTTCCTCCTCAGGCAGAGAGGGCTACATTGTGATAGAAACTCAGAATGGGGAGGTTCGCTCCTGGCACCTCTTATCTCTACTCCTAACACTTTTATGGAACAAGTGTTGACTCTTGAGGCCAAAGTTCTCTGCGGCCCCTACTATATGCTGGGCGCCATGCCCAGTGACTCCAGGAAGGCAGCCATTCTTGGAGAAGCAGGGGACCTGGGCAGCTAGTGGAGAAGCTAGAAGTAGGTTTAGTTCCTCCTCCCAAGCTTCTCATAGCAGACATTTGGACCAAGTTGCCAAATCCCAAACTGGGCTATAACATCCCTATCACTATTGTTCCCTTATTCTGCCCCAACATGGACTAGGGAACTGGTCTCCCTAAAGACTTACTACCTTTGGTCATTTTAGGAGCTGAGATTTCATCCCGCTTTCCTTACTGTATAGAAAGGCTAAGGCCCAATGCAGGAGCTCTGGTAGCATAGTGCCTAAGGCACTTGACTGCTAACCAGAAGGTTGGTGGTTCAAACCCACCAGCCACTCCCCGGAAGGAAGGTTGGCCAATCTACTTCCGTAGTGATACCGCCTTGGAAACCCAAGGAGGAGTCTCTATGAGTCAGGTCTGACTCAACAGCATGTAACAGCACAATGGCAGAAAGGGGAAGTCTGGTGGCATAGTGCCTAACTAGAAGGCTGGCAGTTCACACCCACCAGCCATTCCCCGGAAGGAAGGTTGAGCAATCTACTTCCGTAGTGATACTGCCTTGGCAACCCAAGGAAGGGTCACTATGAGTCGGGTCCGACTTGATGGCCCATGACACCAACAAGGCCCAAGGTAGTGGGGGCGGAAAGACCATCCTCATCTATCTTAATAGCTTTAGCTTCAATTCTAAGTAGAACCCAGCTCTTCCCTAGTCTCCTAAATTGTCAGTCCAGGTTTTGCTTTCTTGTGGCATACTTGCTTACTCACCTCACAGTAGTTTCCTTTCTCAAACACTCTGCACCTCTGGATAAGTCCTAAGCAAACAGGGCTCTCGGTGCAGTTGCTGAGCCAATTCTTTCCCTGTGCTAGATCTAGGGATGGGGGTGTAAAGGTAGGGGTGGGAGTGCTGGTCCCATCCTGACACCAGCAGCCACAGGCATACATGCTGGCCTTGGTGGCTGGGTTGAGTGTGTCCTGGAGATAAAATGGCCCAGGGGAATAATGATTTTGTAAACAGTTAATGCTAGATGCAAATCCAGGTCTGACTTTGATCAAGTTACTTCACCCTCTGAGCCTTATTTGAAAAACCTACCCTTCAGGACTGTTAGACAAACAGATTAGATGGAGATAGCCTTTCTCTGAAGTTCACAGCTATGAGATTATCTTCATTCAAAACCAGAGTGGTACTCAAGATTGAGAGCTGGCTGCTGGGTAAAGTGTGCCAGGCACACTTGGGATTTTATACATACCACTTCACCACACTGGGCTGCCTCCTGTCTTGGAAAACAGCTCAGCATAGGCTGCTGGGGGCAGAGGGACATGTCACGATGGGAGGTTAGTGGCCAAAAGACAGTTGTCCCCAACCTGAAGGGGTGAAGGCTTTGCTTAAAGCTCTTTCTTCCTCACTCACTAGCAAGACACTTAGGACTTTGCCCAGCACCCAGAGAAGCCACACACAGGACATGAGACTAGAAGTCAGGAGGCCAGGATGTGAGTCCTGACTATGTTGTCAATACCACCTTAAGCCTCCTCTAAATCTGTACAATGGGACAAACACTTCCTTTCTACCTACCTTCCAAATCAGTGCTTTGAAAATGCATTGTTGGAATTGCAGTCAATGTCATGAGACAAAATGTAAATAAACTGCTGTATCAAAAATGAATTTGCTCTGTAAACTTTCACCCAAATCACAATTAAAAAAAAAAAAAGCATTGTTACCACATACAGAGGAGCTCTGGTGGCGTAGTGCCTAAGGCACTTGACTGCTAACCAGAAGGCTGGTGGTTCAAACCCACCAGCCACTCCTCAGAAGGAAGACTGGGCAATCTACTTCCATAGAGATACTGCCTCAGAAACCCAAGGAGGGGTCATTATGAATTGGAATCAACCCAACAGCAGTAAGTTTGGTTTTTGGTTTGGCCATGTATAGGGTACAAGAGCACTGGTGCTCCTTAGGTCTTGGCTCAAATTCTTCCCAAAGTGGCAATTTCTTATTCATAGGGACTTGATAGGTAGTGTCCACATTCTTCTTTCCTTAGCATGTGGCTTGAAAGCTGCTCAGGTACTCTAGAGGGTAGCCCTGTACCTTGGGAAGGAGTCCAGCTGCGCAGATAAGTGGGTTTGGAGTCAAACATTTCTGGGTTTGAATCCCAGATTAACCCTGGGCTTCAATGTTATCTCAGTTTTTGCATCTATAAAATGGAGATAACCCTTCAGGAAGGCTGGAAGGATTGAATGAGATAATGCATGTACACTGCTTAGCACACAGAAAGCACTCAGATTAGATTAGCTTAATCTAATCCCAGCTCTACCACTGACTTGCTGTGGCATGTCTCAAGTTTTCCATTTACCTTAGGATCAATAATCTCTGTTCATTGCTCACAGCAAACGGGAAGACAAATTTTAAAAAATGGCCTGGCTAAGGCTTAAAAAGCTAGTTTTCTTCCCCATACCCAGTTGCTCATTGAGCTCCTTGTCCTGCCTCCCTACTCCAGCTCATATATATATATTTCACACAGGACGTGCACAACACACACAGGAAACTAACTCATGAGGGGGCTGCACAGTTTGCAAAACAATATAAAGCATGCCTTATTTGCGTAAAAATTTGGTACTAGTAACCTCCCCCCTTTTCTCAGGTGTGAGTTTTGCTACCAGGCAGGTAGGTAACATGACCAAGCCTACCACAATCATCAAAGTGAATGGAGACCTTATCACTGTCAAGACACAGAGCACCTTCAAGAACACAGAGATCAACTGTAAGCTGGGAGTGGAGTTTGATGAGACAACAGCAGATGACAGGAAGGTCAAGGTGAGTCGGGGCAAACAGGTGCTGTGATACAGGGTGCTAGGACCCGAGGGCAACAGGCTGGTAGCCTTGGCTCACCTCCATTGCACCCAGGATGAAAAGCTTAGTCTTATGGGAAGCACAGAGCCAAGATGCTATGACCTCAGTGTCTACTCCAGCTCCAGCTGGGTGACCTTGTGGAAGACATGGCAATAGCTCTGGGTTTCTGTCCCCTTTCCATAGATGGGGGAGTTATGCGGTCATGGCTGTGACCTGAAGTGGTGTGGGAACAGTGCCCAGAAGTCAGGGCCTTCCTGGGCCTGGCCAATGACCTTGGATAATTTCTGTTGCTGCCAGCAGATAGGCAGGAAGAGCTGCAAGGTTCTGGGATGCGGCATTCACATGCTCTTGGGTGTATTTGCAGTGTCTTCCCACCAATCTTCAGGCCCTCAGTCTCAGGGCTGTCAGACTGCTACAACTCTGTCTTGGCAGCTTGCCTCAGGCTTCCTAGCCCCAGGCCAGGCAGGGGAGAGAACTAAGGGGATTTGACTTTGACAGGGTATCCCTACAGCAGTGTCCTCTCCACCTTCACCCAGCCCCTCAGCTGTCCTAGGAAGGACAGTAAATGGTCTGGTCTCCTTGCAGAGTAAGAGGAGCTGGAGACAGTATCCAAGGCTGGCAACCAACTTTAGATCAATGTGGCTGCCTCACCACAGTCATCTCCTTCCTTGGACCTGCCCACTGTCTCAAAGGGCAAGAACTCAATTAAACCCAATAGTCTTCTAGGGGCACCTAGGCCAAAAAATAGTCTGAGTAAGCAGAAAGCTGGGGGAATGAGAATGAGGAGGATGGTGGTGGTGAGGACAGCAGTCTAGGAGATAAGTGACCACCTCCCCACTTCCCCACCACACACACATGCATAGCTTCTCAAGATTCTCCTACTGAACTCCACCTAGTCAGAGTCCCATAGCCTGGTGTGCAAAGTCGTAAGTAAAGTTCACTGCCATCGAGTTGGACCCGACTCATAGCAACCTCTCCTTGGGTTTCTGGGGCAGTATCACTACCCAACCTTCCTTCCAAGGAGTGGCTAGTGGGTTCGAACCGCCAGCCTTCTCATTAGCAGTCAAATGCCTTAGGCATTACACCACCAGAGCTCCTATAGCCTGGTATGTTGTTGTTATGTGCCACCGAGTCAGACCTGACTCATAGCGACCCCTCCTTGGGTTTCCGAGGCAGTATCACTACGGAAGTAGATTGCCCCATCTTCCTTCTGAGGAGTGGCTGGTGGATTTGAACCGCCAGCCTTCTGGTTAGCAGTCAAGTGCCTTAGGCACTATGCTACCGGAGCTCCCATAGCCTGGTGTTGTTCTTGTTGTTGTTATGTGCCGTCGAGTCAAACCCGACTCATAGCGACCCCTCCTTGGGCTTCCGAGGCAGTATCACTACGGAAGTAGGATTGCCCAACCTAGCCTGGTGTAGAGCCCCCCAAATCCTAAGAAATGCCTGGGAGAGCTGCCAACTGAGAACCAGCTGATGCAAGATGGAAGAGCCCAGGGACTAACCAAGTGTGTATTTGACTTTGGGAAGTAGAACTTCAAAAGCATTCAGTCCTAGGACCCTGCAATTGCTTCCCATTTGTCAGCTAACAGGGTCAAATGGTATGGATCAAGATGAGTGGTAGGAAATAAAATTGTCCAATACTTCTCATCAGCATGTGATAGACATTGTGTTGTAACCACGGCCCAAGAGATTTTCTCAGTACTAGTCTTCCTTAGCCAGTCTTTCCCAGGGATATAAACTGGTGCATGCCCCTTATATCTTACAGGGCATCCTTTAGACTACAAGATAACTGTCCATCTCGAAGACTGGTGGCACTTCTCAGAGGCAGGCTGTTTGGCTCCACCATACTGCCTGCCTCTCTGTTGCTCTGCCAACATCAGAAGGGCCTTCCCTTAGTCGAAGCAGTAGTGGAGCAGAGGCCTCCTACAGGGCTAGGATGGAGGCAGGCTGCCTGAGTTTTGATCCCAGTGCCATCACTAGTTTGGGTCAGAGGCTGAGTCCTCTGAGGCTCCAGTGACCAGACCCCATTTTGCTCCCCAATCCTGGTCGAAATCACAGACCAGGCCTCTACTTTCTTTCCTCAGTCCACTATGACACTGGATGGAGGCAAGCTTGTCCATGTGCAGAAGTGGAACGGGCAAGAGACGACACTTGTGCGGGAACTAAGTGATGGGAAACTTATTCTGGTAAGATGTGCAACTTTGGAGCCTCATCTGACTGGTTACTAATGCTTCAGTTAAACCTGTTTTAAAAAGCTAAGATCCTCCACTGGGAACAATGGAACTGGGATCGTGAAGGATGGAAGCAGGGTCAGGGTAGCATTAGGTGGGAATTTTCTCTATAGTGGCTTTGAACTCAGACAGACATAGGTTCAAATCTCAGTTACATGCTGTGTGACTTGGACATGTTAATATCTCAGGGCCCAACTATAAAGTGGGTATTAGTATTACGAACCTTGTAGGCCTGCTGGGAAGTCTGCAGGAGACAGCACACATATAACACAAAGCACCAATGTGCTGGCAGGAATACAGCAGGTCTTTCCTAACCTTAGTATCGTCCTATCTTGTCACTTTGCCTTGGCCCCAGTAAGAGAGAAGACAGGGCCAAATCTAACTCAAGGCCCTCTTCTATCACAGCATTCTCTCCCTTTCTGCATTGTCACATGCAATGCCTCTGGGCAGGGACAAGGCTGGTGGTAATCCTCTAAATGACAGTGCACTCCCTTCTAACTCATTTTAGCCTTACCTCTTCAGTGTTTTCCATGTACTGGCCTGCTGCAAGTACCTCAACTACCAGCTAGGAAGTGTTGCAACCAGGCCACAACATCTTTCTTTTTAGAGATCATCCTGAGGACTTCACCCAGAAATTACAGCCTTGTCTAACACCCCCCAGGGACAGCCAACTGTGGTCTTGCCTCCTCACCCTGTGGGGCTTCAGGTTTTTGCTTTGGCATGTTAACTTCAAACATTCTTGGGTCAGTGTACCAAACTAACGGTATTCTTGAATTCACAAAGGGTAGGGGTCCCTACAGAGTTAGAAATGAGATACAAATGCAGGTATGCAGGACCAAATACTGGGCAACTGGACTATATTCTCTTGGGAAGTGGTAATGCCCTGGGTCCAGCTCTAAGAAGCCAGACTGAATGGTGAGTGCTAGGCTCTGGCCATGGCACTGCCCTAAGTTAGGGGAAGAGGGAAAGAGTTAGTGGCCTTGCACAATCCTTTCCCAAGAGTCTCCAGACATTTTTATTCACTTCTTTGTCTACTATGTGCCAGGCATTGCCTTAAGCACAAAGGATAAAGGAAGCTGAAGGGTGTAAGGCAAAGAAAGATACTGGGATCCTGATCAAGTTACTCTACTCTCAAGGCTTATTTTCCCGTATCTCTAAATTGAGAATTATAATGCCTATCTGAAAGACCTGGTCTAAGGATTAAAAAAAAAAAAAAGTATGTAATGTGCCTGGCACATAATTCGCAAAAAATGAAGATTTTTATGAAGGTAGAGGGCTCTCTCCATCACAATGGAGAGTGCTCCTACCTTGTCCTAATCTAATTCTGTCTTTTCTTCCAGACACTTTCCCATGGCAGTGTAGTTAGCACTCGTACCTATGAGAAAGAGGCGTGAGCCTGCCCAATGCTCCACGGACTGTTCTGCCAATCAGCTACCAATGGACTCAGCACCAGAATGCCTCTTTTTTTTCCTCTAGCATTTTGTATAAAGCCACTTTGGTTGGTGAATTCTTTCAGGGTCAGGTTGCACCAGCCTGGTTTGGGTTCCCATTGTGTATGCTTTGTTTTTTTATCTGTATCTAAAAGGGTGCTCTGAGGTCAATAAAGTAAAGCCCAAGGCCACCCAACTGCCTTTGGTGACATCATTCAGGAAGTCTGTTTCCCCTGTGCACCAGACCACGGACAGAAATGACTGTCTGAAATTCAGGCATAGCAAGAAGCCCTGAATGAAGGACTAGAATGGATAACACTCAGAGACGGTAGTAGTCAGTGATCACCTTACCCATTAAATAATAAAACATCTCTATCTATACCTTGCCTTTACATTCCCATCTCCCTTTCCCCATGCTCAAATGAGCCAGCCCAACCCGGAAAACTCAGTGGTGGGTCTTCCCCAGTGCATCTATCCCACACGGAATGCTCCTGGAGCTGGACAGTTGTTTTTCTGTAGAATGCTTTGGTCTCTCCTTTTCTAGAACTCAGGCTCAGGGCATCGTATCCAGGCTTGTGCCATAATGGTAGAATAAAAGGACCACTGGCCAATGACTGCTGAGCTCTGGCCTATGTTCCAGGCTACTACTCATGGTTATAAATTCTGATTATCTAATAAACTCTGATTATCTAATAAACTCAGGTGGAAGAGGGCAACTGATCATTAAAGAGGAGGGCCTGTAAATGATCTCCCAAGAAGGCTGTGACCTGCTAGTACCCATGGCTCTTTACTTGAGCTGGGCTTTTTTCCAACATATAAGGTAACATTAAATGTTTGTCAATCTATGCAGGCTCAGGGACTTTAAGTCTGTAAATTACCAAAGAAGAAGGATTAAAGGAATAAGAACTTTTAGTAAGTTTAAAACCAAACACATTTCCATCAAATGCCAGGAATTGAAGCAGAGACATGAAGTGGAACTGACTTGCACAGTAGTAAATACAAAGTAGAGCAACAATCTTGGCTTGGGCTGTCTGGTTCAGTGGTCTGGAGGAATGTTCACACACGAGCTCAATTACTGCAGACAACCACTTACTGCTGTAGTCACTGGCTGCCATTTGTAGTAGAGCGGAGCCATGTTAGGGAGAATGGAAGTAGTGAGCACCACTTTCCACCATGCTCTCCCCTCATGCTGCCAGTCTCCCTCTGCCTCCATGCTGAAGGCAACAAGGATCACCCACCAATCAGCCCAACAGACCAGCACGGAAGGAACGACTGCACTGTTCTTCTCTGACTACAGCCAGACTTGCTGCCACAGCAGTATCTGTGGCTCTAGCCTGGGCTCCTGTACAGGAATCCAGCTCTGGCAGCGGCAGCTGGAAAGGGCAATGGGATCTACTGCTGAATGATGTTGGGTGAATGCATGGGTGAGCTGCAGAGATCACCTGCAAAATGACCAGAAGTGATAAGGATACAACAACTCATTCAGGCAACTGCTCTTGACATCTGACTCCCAAACCTGCCTGCTGTCTGAGGGGAAGCCATCTCCCATGGGAGAGAAGTAAATGGGGTGGGAGGCCTTATTCTCTCTATAAGTCTTTTCAGGACCAAGGGCTTCAAGGGACAAGGCTCCTGGTTTCCTATTCTCCCAACCACCCCCTCCACTCTTTCCACTATCACTCCTTATGCTTCTTCTTGTGCTTCTTCTTCTTCTTCTTCTTCTTTGCTGCCTTACTGTCTCTTGATGTATGTCTTGCCCTCTTGTCTGTATCACTCTCAGAGTCTGAGCTGTCAGAGTCAGATGACTTCCTGTCTTTATGTTTCTTTTTCTTCTTTTCCTGAAAAGAAAATTAAAAAACTAAACATCGACATGTATATTTTCTTTAAAAAATCATGGCACGTAATCAATACAGGACTACTTAAATTATAAGACATTCTTATTATGGGATAAAACAGTTATTAAAAAGAATAAAGTAAATAAGTACTGGCAAGAAAGGGCCAAAATAAGTGAAAGAATCAAGCTATAGTAGAGTATGTATTGTAGATTCTTGTATGTTTAGTGTATATACAGAGAGAAAGGGAGAGAGAGAGGGAAACGAAAATGAGGAGAACCCTCAATAAGATGGATAGAGACACAATAGCTGCAACCAAGGACTCAAACATACCAATGATCATGAAGATAGCTCAGGACCAGGCAGTGTTTCATTCTATAAGTATTTCAACCATAAGGCTGGAGCTGGCTCAATGGCAAATAACATATATATATATATATATAAATGAATACACATATAATGGAGTGTAAATAAATATCTGACAAAAAATGTTTATAAATATTTATATACGGTGGCATATAATTAACACAGAAAACAGTGGGAAGGACACAGAGGAAATTGGTAGTAAGTGTTACCTCCACAGAATGCAGTGAACGGGTAAAGATAAGTATTTTTTTACTTTACATGATTCTGTCTAATTAGATCTTTTTGAAGGAAAAACAAAACAAAAAAGGCATCTATTACTTTCATTTTTTAAAAAACCCAGGATAGTAAAGCTCAAAGTAGCCCTCAGAGATCACCTAGTCTGTACAGACAGTGTACCACTTGCGCAAGGTCACAAAATAAGAGTGACAGATACAGGACTCCTGACTCCCAGTCTGGTTTCTGTTAAGACCTTGCTGCCAGAGAAAACAATTGCCATCAATTAATGACCCTCAACCTGCTAATCTTGAATATTTATTGCCTGTAACCTTTACAACTATAGTTTATTGACTACGCAAAGGCCTTTGTGTAGATCATAACAAATTACGGATAACATTATGAAGAACTGGAATTCCAGAACACTTAATTGTGCTCATGAAGAACCTGTATGTACACAGACTAAGAGGCAGCCATTCAAACAGAAGGAGGGGGATACTCTGTGGTTTAAAATCAGAAAAGGTGAGCATCAGGGTTATATCCTTTCATGATATTTATTCAATCTCTGCTGACCAAAGAATCCAAGAAGCTGGACTATATGAAGAAGGTCACGGCATCAGAACTGGAAGCAGAGTCCTTAACCTGTGATATGCAGATGACATAACCTTGCTTGCTGAAAGTGAAGAGGGCTTGAAGCACTTACTGATGAAGATCAGAGACCACAACCCTCAGTATGGATTACACCTCAACATAAAGAAAACAAACGTCCTCACAATGGACCAATAAACAACACCATGATAAATGAAAAGACTGAAGTTGTCAAGGATTTCATTTTACCTAGAACCACAATCAACAGCCATGGAAACAGTTGCCAAGAAATGAAAGGACGTGTGTTCTGGTTCCCTAGTGCTGCTCTGAGGAGAAATATACCACAAATGGGATGGCCTTAACAAGCAGGAGTTTATTCTTACAGTTTGGAGGCTTTAAGTCCAAGTTCAAAGTGCCAGGCTCTAGGGGCTGGGTGAAAGCCCCTCAACCTTAGGGTCCAGCTTTGCCTCCTGCTCCTGGCCCACTGGAGCTAGAGGTGTTTCTTCATTCAGACAGCTGCTGGTTGCTGAGGCTGAGAAGCCCCAAGGTTGACAAGTAAAAAAGGCACAGTCCCAATGTTACCCAACCACACAGAAGGCCATTAACTTAAGTCCATTATAAGTCCCAAGGTCGTCAGAGCATAGCAGGGTGCTGAGCAATGACATGGCTACATGCAGGGTCCAAGACTGCCATAGGCTAGAAACCATTCCCCAAGGCTTCTGCTTATATACAGGAAGCAGACCACATTCTCTAACACAGCTATTCAGCTGCTTGTGGTAGATCCCTCCACGGAGTTGATTGCCAGTCTCATCATGGGGAATAACTACCACCAGCTGCCCAGCTACTCAACTAGGCCCAGCCAAGTTGACACACAAATATAACCACTACAACATATTACACTGGGCAAATCTGTTCCCAAAAATTTCTTCAAAGTATTAAAAAGCAAAGATATCTCTTTAAGGATTAAAGTGCACCTGACCCAAGCCATGGAATTTTCAATTGCCTCATGTGCATGTGAAAGATGGACAATGAATAAAGAAGACCAAAGTAGAATTGATGCTTTTGGATTATGGTTTTGCCAAAGAATATTAAATATACCACAGACTGCCAGAATAATGAACAAATCTGTCATGGAAGAAGTATAGCCAGAATGCTCCTTAGAGGCAAAGATGGCCAAGACTTCATCTCATGTACTTTGGACATGTTAGCAGGAGAGACTAGTCCCTGGAAAAGGACATCATGCTTGGTAAAGTCAGCAAAAAACAGGAAAACTCAATGAGATGGACAGGCACACTTACAGCAACAATGGGCTCAAACGTAGCAACGATTATGAGGAAGGTGCGGGAGTAGATGGTATTTCATTCTGTTGAACAGAAGGTCATTCTGAGTTGGAACCAACTTCAAAGCACCTAACAACAACCACCTTTACAACAACTTCACAAGGTTATACAGATGAAAAAATCTCAAAAAGAACTTGCCCAAAACTATAGCTGGGCAGCTATAGTTTGAACTCTAGCATCTAGACTCCTAGGATAGGTCTTTGCCCACCACATCATACTGCCAAATAACAGCATAAATTCATACAAAGCAGAGAAGATGGATTGATTCCCAGACTTCTATAGAGTGTCAGGGCAATTTTTATCACTGCAAAGCCTTTTCCGTGAATTCCAAATATCTATATTGGCTCAACAAAGTTTCTAGGACACGGGAAAGATTATAAGAGGAAAAAGAGAGCTGAAGAGGGTGCGGCTTCTGTTCCCCTTATGATAAGCTTCGAACCAGCATCTTGAATGCTGTCAGTCTGCCTGTGTCACACACCAGGCTGTGAGAAATGGGGGAAAGAGCAGAATCAGGTGTCAGACAGACCTAGATTTGAATTCTGGCTCTGATACTTACTATTATTCTATAACCTTGGACTAACTTGGGTAAGTCATTTCACCTAACTGAAACCTAGTCTCTTCAAATACAAAATAGGAATAACATGGCTGTGGTGAAGCCATGAGTTATATTCAGTGAAATGGACATATCTTGGTACCCACCCCCCCAATTCACTGGTCTGCCTTCAGGGACCACATCAAAGGACTCAAAAAGTAAGGCCTGTAAAATGTGCTCTCTGAACACTGCTAACGAACCAGACAACTTAGCTTTGCAAATTCCTATGTTCTCAGTGAATGAACAAACAAACAAACTGTGGCTTGGAAAAGTTGGGAGCCACTGTCCCAGATCACATCGGCCAAGTCAGGGCTTGAATATAGAATGTGTAACTGGAAATCTCCTGGGTTTTCCTCTGTAGCACTTAGGAGGCCTCATGGTATGGCGGTCAGAACAACTCTGGAATAAAACAGAATTAAATTCAAATTCCAGACTGCCACTTACTAGCTGTGTATCTTGAAACAAGTCACTCAACTTTTTTGAATCTCAGTTTTCTTTTGAGTAAACTGGGAATGACAAATAGGATGCATCAAAGGATGCTTTGAAGATTAAACATGATAATCACTAACTATAGTATATAATACCTGGTAGAGGCACTCACCAGTAGCTAGAAGTAGTATTCTCTCATTTCAGAGAAATCAGAATTTCTGGTTATCTGAGAGACTAGCCGACCATCTATAGTGATGAATCAAAGTTTTGAGAGGAGATTAAACCAAATTATTTTCTGGGATCTCCAAGAGAGTAAACAGGAAGAAAGAAAAAAGGCTTCCCAGGCCCACATTACTATGATGAAAAAACATGGCCAAGAGAAGCTGAAAGATGGCAAACCAATGATTTGGCTTATGATGCTGCACCCGCCTGACAAGATCATGAAAGCCCAGCACAGGAAATATAATAACAGTCCTGAGAACCCTGGGATGCTGGAAGGTGGTCTCTAGCTATCACAGAGAACTTAGGGGGACATGGCTTTCTCCTTTTGCATCTATATGCAAAAGCTCTTCTGCAGCCTGAACAAAGAAAATCCAGTCCTCCAGCAGGTGGCGTCACTTTCATTTAATGCTAGAAAACAAAGGACAATTACTTCTCAAGACGCAGTTCAAAAAAGGTGGAGCAAGAGGAGGAGAGAGGAAGATGAAGAGCCAGAAGGAGAAACTAGCTGTATGATCCCTTAACTACATTCACAGGGGAAATGCAACAGAAGATAAGGGTGAAAACATGACCCTGGGGTTGAGTCAATAGTGAACAGGCCAGGAAGGGCATGGGAGAGAAGCTACTGTTCAAACGTCTCTAAGATTGTTCTCAGAGGAAATCATATAGCCCTTGTTAAAGTACCCAGCCCACGCATTTTCTGTGTAGCTGAAACAGGACAGAGCAGCCCAGTGTGGGAGAAGATCAAAAATCAAATCTAAGAAAGGGGAATAATAGTAGCTCACGTTTACTGAGTACTTCGTTTGCTAGATGCTAGGCTGGGCACCAGTGTAACTGCCTCATCTAACCTTCACAACAAATCTGTATAGTGGGAAAAATTATCTCTACATTTTCAGGGAAGAGAACTGTATAACAGATAAAATGACTTATTCAAGACCATACAGTAAGTAGCAGAACCAGGGCTGTGAACCAGTTCATTTCACTTCAATTCCCTGCTGAGTATTTGCATTTCTACTCCATACATGCTGAATCAGAATCTACATTTTAACAAGAGTCCCAGGAGATTTTCATGTATACCTGGGATCTGTAAGAATCACCTGGGGACCAAGATAAACGATAGATTCAGATTCAGTATATCTGAGGTGGGAAGGCAAATTCTCAGCAGGGATCACACCAGAGCGAATTGATTCAAAGCCCTGAATAGAACCTGGGTTTGACTCAGGTTGAGTCACAAAATGAATGCTTTTTCTAATCCTGTC